ATTGTAAATTTTGGTCAATGACATGAGACAAAGTATATGTGAACTGCTGTATGAAAAGTGAATTTACTCTGTAAATCTTCACCCAAATCCTAATAAAATGTATGTGAGAGAAAAAAAAAAGAAAGAAAGAAAGGTGAGGCAGTCTACTTCTGTAAAGATTTATAGCCTCGGAAACCCAACAGGGGTTGCTATGAATCTACATCGACTCGATGGCAGTGAGTAAGTGAGCTGGACACTGGAGGGGCAGCTTGCAGCTCCCAGTGAGGTTTTATATCTACTCTCCTTTGATCCTCACCTGTGAGCTGTGTTGAGTGGGGATCATCTCAGTTTTACCGACAAGGACACTGAGGCTCGGAGAAGTGACTTGCCCTAGATCACACAGTCAGTAAAGTGACAGAGGTGAGCCCTGAGTCTGTCATGACGGTGCTTGAGTGACTGAGCCAGCACTATCCGCCCTCATGCAGGGGGATGAAGTAAGAAGCTGGGGTGTAGGACAGCAAATAAGGGTCTGTGGTCACAGAGCCTGCCCAGCTGGCAGCCTGAAGAGAGTGGAAATGGGAGGGTGCCACAGAAAAGGGTCTGGTCAGAAAAGGAAGGAAGCTGGCATCATACACTGTCACAGCCGCTTTTGGAAACTTTGTGCCATGTGCGGGGGTTTCTGAGGGTCTGGAAGCAGAAGCTTTGGGGGCTGTAGTCAGGGGAAGATGGGATGGTGAGGCAGGACTGGAACAGTAATGGGGGCACTGGAGACAGGTAAATATGGATGGATTGAGCAATTCTTTTTTTGCATAATTTTTTTCTGTGTTAATATTTTATTTGTTATTGTTGAGGACATACTCCAATTCAACCATTTCTACATATACACTGATGACATTCTTTTGAATTGTGCAGCCATTCTCACCCTCCTTTTCTGAATTTTTCTGCCTCCATTAACATAGACTCACCGATTCCTCCGTTTCCTGCCTAACCTTTCAGAGTTGCTGTTGTCAGTTTGCTCCCATAGAGATAATTCTTTAAAAACGCATGATGTCAGTCTTTTCTAATTAAGCTAAACTATTGTTTGGTTTAAGGAGCTCTGGTAGCATAGTGCCTAAGGCACTTGACTGCTCACCAGAAGGCTGGCGGTTCAAACCCACCAGCCACTCCTCGGAAGGAAGGTTGGGCAATCCTACTTCCGTAGTGATACTGCCTCGGAAACCCAAGGAGGGGTCACTATGAGTCGGGGCCGACTTGACGGCAAACAACAACAACATTGTTTGGTTTAAAGAAGACTTTAGGGGATATTTTGGGTTTAAACTTTAAAGATTATCTCGGGGGTTCATCCAGGCTCAATGGCTCCACAAAGTCTGGATTCCATGAGGATTAGAAATTTTGTTCTGCATTTCCCCCCTTTTGGTCAGGATTATTCTATAGACTCTTTAGTCCAAATGTTCATTAATGGGTCATTAATGGGCATGGACTTGAACAGTTTTGAGGAGGTAGAATCCATAGGACTTGGAGGTGAATGGAGTGTGGGGTATTGTGGTGTGGGGCCTGTGGGTGGCACTGGCGAAATCTGACCCACTGTGTCTGTTGTCTGCAGGTGATTGTGTGGGGGAACTACGGGCGCATGGAGAGGAAGCAGTTCATGGGTGTGGCCCGTGTGCTGCTGGAGGAGCTGGACTTGACCACCCTGGCCGTCGGCTGGTACAAGCTCTTCCCCACCTCCTCCATGGTGGACCCAGCCACAGGCCCCCTGCTCCGGCAGGCATCCCAGTTGTCCCTTGAGAGCACCGTGGGGCCCTGCGGCGAGCGATCTTAGTGCCGGGGATGGGGAGGGGCTCCCGAGATGGCCTTGGAGACCTCCCAGCCCCAACCTGGAACCCCAGGCACTGGGCACATTGAACAGAGGATCATGGGGCGTTCCCCCACAGGGGGGAAGCAGAAGGGGAGACCTGTCCCCCTCAGGCCCCTCCTCACCCCTTCTTTGCCTCCTGCCCCCGAGACCTTCCCTCTCCCAATGGGATTGGCTGCACTTTTGACTTGGCTGGTTCTTGACCTGGTGGATGTGGCTGAAGACCGGAGAAAGGAAAGACAGGGGTGGCAGAGCAAACCCCTCTTCTGTCCCAAACACTGTCCAGCTTCCCCATACCCCTTTTCCCCTCCTTGGAAGCTCGCTGCCCGGAGCCAAGTCCAGAACCCAGCCGGCCATCTCCATGGTGCCAATTACCAGCAAGTGTCTTTCCTGCGGCACCGGGTTCAGGCAGCTACTCCTGTCCCAAAGCCGATGGGGCAGCTTTGCAAGGATCCGGAGCCAGCTCCTGGGGGCCCAGGGCCCCAACTGGAAGAGGAGCTGAGGCCTCCCTCCACCTGCCTGTAGAAGGAGCTTTGTCGCAGCCTGTCTGAGTCCATCTGTCCGTCCCCTCTTGCCTGTCCCTCTTCCAGTGACTCTAGAAATTGGAGTCCTACAAAGATTAAAGGAGGGGGGAGGAGGTGTCCGAGGCCTGGTGCGGTACCTGCAGACCCCCAGGGCGCCTTGCTCCATGGGGCTGCCACAGGCCAGTTTGGGAACTGCCAGTGGACTGTCAACACCTTTATCATTTCTGTTTTGGCAGAGGAGCTGTGGGACCCTGCTTGTCCAGAACCCGAGCCCTGAGAGGGCACCATCTCTGCATTTTGGGCGTGCTAGGTTGGAGGGGAGGCTGAGGAAAGCCGGGGTTGGGACTGGGGCTAAGGGTTTCCTACTTAGAGAATCCTATCCCTCTGCCTCCAGGCCAGGGGACCTGGGCAAGGGACAGAGTTCTTCAATTTCAGTCTTTTTCAACAAACCATCCTGTACTAAGGGCAGGAGCCACGGCCCTGGCTTCCATGACCTTACTTAGCTCAAGGAAGGACAGCTGTAGGAGAAAAAGCCCGAGAGGAGGTGCAAGTGCAGAAATTGGGGGATGGTTCTCAAGCAGGATAGCTGGGTAGCTGCCTTCCTGTCCCGGCCCTCCCTAGGGCCTGCGGGAGCCCTTTTGCATGCTGGGGAGGACGCAGGCTGGCCCCTGGTTACAGAAGCACATTCCTGCCACCTCCCCTGGGAGGCACCTAGCAGCCCACCACCCCTTTTACTCAGTCCCTGCTGTGTAGGGCGTAGTCCAGGTTAGCTGGGTAGAGTTAGTGTTCCAAGTCCTGGGGCCTGCCCTTAGTTCACACATAGTCCACACAGTCCCAGGACGGGGCGGGGAGTTGACACAAATACATTCCAGGAGATTGCAGTCTCCTTGCCAGCCACTGGCCAGAGCTCAGATCCCGCAGCCTGGTTCACAGGGGCTAGCCCCTCCTCCCCTCTCCTCCTTCCCCCTCCCTTGTAGGGCCCAGCTAGGGCTGCCCACTATACGCAAGCATTCTGGATTATTATCCTTGGTACTGGTTTTATTTATGAAGCACTCCTGGGGACATCTGGGCCTTGGCGATAGGGCCTGGAGTCCACTGGAGGGCATGGTTTCCGCTGAGGATGTCCGGAATAGTCCCACCCTATTCCTTGTCACACCCTGGTCTATCCACAGGGCTGTTCCTCCCACCTGGACATCCTCAGCTCCCCTTGGCCTGATGTCCTTTAAAGTTCGGGGTGAGCTTCAGCGCCCTCACAGAGCTGCTCACACTGCACTAGAAGAGGAGATGGGGTACCCCCTTTGTCCAGGGGGATCTTCAGAACTTTTTGGGGTTGCAGCAGGTCGAGTCCCAAGACTGGGCTCTGGACCTGTCTGGAAGGTAAAGCAAGCGGCGAAGATGGCTGTGCCCTGAAGGGTGAGGCCTAGGATAGACCAGTGCCCGGTGGTAGCTGGGGAAGCCCAGCTGAGATGCCAGGAGGGAGCAGGGCTCTGGGGGACTCACACCCAAGGCCCCATTTTTTAACCAGTGTGATTTCTCTGCTGTTTGTTGATTACCATTTAGAATATTTCGAGCCAGGGAGCACCTTGCTCTCCACACATCGCTGCTCTGGTCGGTCAGGGGCAGCTTTTCAAGCATGGGCAGAGCCGGGCTGTCCCAACCAGAGGGTGAGGGGCTCCAGCCCGAGCCCCCTCTGGGGTCTGCACCGCCTTTACAGAGAGAGCGCCCCAAAGCAATAACAACACCCTAGGGGTGGCCGTCAGGGCCCCCCTCAATGGTTTTCTTGTTTGTTCTGTGAAATCTCTGTTCACCTCCTGGAGGGGTGGGCTGGGCTGGGGGCTGGAGCCCTGTTTCTTTGTATCATCGTTGTGAGCACGTGTCCCCTTCGAAGGGGTTCTGACCATTTGGCATGGGAACCACCGTCCGCTCTCACTAGGGGATGGGGCTCTGGGGTGGGGGAGTGACTCTTCATTACTAGCTTTGGGGACTCTTCCAACCCAGCGGGTCCCTGCTGCTAACCTTTCTTTGGCAGCTTACATGCCACCATGGGGGAGGAGCAGGGAGGGTGGAGTTTGAGGGCCTTGAGGTGGTTGGGGTGTCTAGGAGGTGATGCTTTTTTCAATCTCTGGGTCAGAGGTCACAGGCAGGGGTACCGTGGGGGTGAGGGAGCCATCCCCACTTCCTTTTCCAGAATTCTCATCATCCTGAAGGGGACGGGTGTTTGGGAGCATTTAGTGAAGTCCACTTTCATTTTGTAGACAGGAGACCCAGGCCCAGTGCAAGGGGGCCCCTGGGGTCAGCTGTGAGTTGGGTGTCATCCTCCGCTGGGTCTCCTCCCAGCAGCTGGAGCAAAGTGGACCCCTCCCCTCCTTCAGCACTTCCTCCTCCTTTTTCTCTTGAGAGCCTCCTAGTGGCCAAAGATGGGCAGGGCAAGTGGTAGCCCATCTGAGAACTTAATGACCACAACAGGAAGTGACTTGTCAGACCCCTCAGAAAGCAAGTGATGGGGGCAGGACTGGGGCCTCTGTTGCACATCCTCCCTTAACATGAGACCCCTTCTCCAGGGAATGTCCACCATGATAAAAGCTTTGACTGCTTGGCCCTGCTTGGGTCCATCTAGGTGGGTCAGTAACTCACTTTCTGGGCCTGGGTTTGGGGGAGAGGGTTGCCATAGAGACTGAGCTCACCTAGGGTCCGACCTCACTGACTAAGGAGGCGTAGGATCTGGTCTAGGCCTTGCTGCCTGGGTGGAGGCTCCCACAGATGTGCCATAACCCAACCAGGACCAGCTGGAGGGAGAACCGAGAGACATCAGTTTCTGCCCAGGCTGAGAGGGAGTGGGGGCAGCTGTGGAACCCCTCATCTGAAGGAAATCCATGCAAAACCCTTCAGATGTAGTTAACACCTGACCTTCCTGTAGTGCTTCTCAATGCATTTTGTTTCCCAAGTGCAGCCCCTCACGAGAGCCCCCGGGCAGTAGGAGGGGCCTGGCGTCACCACCCCCATCCTGAAGAGGAGGAAGTTGAGGTCCTGGGAGGGCAGGCACTTTCCCAAGGCTCCCTACTGTAAGTTAGTGGCCAAGCCCCCTCTTCTGCAGGAGTAGAGCTGATGGTTGTCAGGTGCCATCAAGTCGATTTGGACTCACAGGGCGCCGTGTGACAGCACAACTGCCCAGGAGGGTTTTCTAGGCTGTAATCCTAATGGGGGCAGATCACCAAGTCTTTTTCTTGTGGAGCCACTGGGTGGGCGCAAACTGCTGACCTTTCAGTTATCACCTGAGCACTTCATCATTGTGCCACCAGGGTTCCCAGGGTGGGTCGTTTAGGGGGTGCTTACGCACTTTACATGTTCATTCATCATCCGGTTCCTCCAACCGGGGAGATCCTGGGCACAGTGCGGTGTTCCCAAATACCAGAGGCCGCTCCCCCTTGGGGCACAGCTGTTGCGTCAGGCATGGTCACCTGCATTTATTTATTGAGCAGCAGCACTGTGCCAGGCCCAAGGGACCGAGCTCCCCCCGCCCCCATCCGCAGTGACTCCTCAGAGCTGGGTCTGCAGAGCAGCCCCTCAGGGTGGACGGGAAGCTTCCACGTCCATAAGCATCTGACGCCCCACCCTGTTAGGTAGGCTGGAAGGGCCCGTTTCACTTGTAGCTTCTGCGAGGGCAAAGTGGGGACCAGGGCCTTAGGTGTTACATCTGGAACCCTTTCACCACCATTGCCTCCTGGTTGTGGCAGGAGGGCAGGACCTGGGGCCCCAAGCTGGGGTCTCTCGCCATCCTTCCACTTTTCCCTCATTCCCCTTCCAGGAGCAGGAGCAGGAGCCCCTGGGCCTTTGGGGAGGGAGGGTTTCTGGGCCCCTGGGTTGGAATGGGTCACGTTGCATTATGTTCATGACCATGTAGCTCATGTTGAAAATTAAAGTTTTTGGCTTTTCTAACCTGGCTTGCTCTGGCTTTGTGTTGACACAGGTCTACCAGGGGAGCTAAGGGCAGTTGGTGTTTATGTGTCTGAGCATCAGAATGTCAGGGGCCCACCGTGGACTTTATTATTGTGCTCTTATGGGGTGGAGTCTGTCCCGGGGGGCACTGCCAGGGTGCCCCGCATGGAGCAGGGCTCTGGATGAACCTGCAGCCCCAGTCATCTCACAGTTGTGGAGACTGAGGCCAGGGAGGAGGTACGATTCCCCAGGGCCCCGTTGCTGGTGACTGGAGCTGGAATAGAATCCTGATCTGGCTGCTAATAGATGACTTGGCCCACAGCTTCAGGCTGTGTCCAGCTGGCCCAGTCCCCTGATGGTGGGTGTCAGCAAGCCCTCCCTCATCCCCCATTGGAGCTGGCATCAGCCCCATCAGAAGGATGGGGCTGTACACTGGCCAATTCCATGCTGTACAACAGGCAAGAAGAATGACAATTTCAGTGGTGTGGGGACTTGCCCACCTGGACTGCAGACTGCCCCCTCCAGTCTCTGTTCCCTGTGCTTTTCACACTGTGAGCATCTGGCCTCATTGATAGGATTCCAGTGTGTGAATCCGTACAGTTCCCCTACGCTGTGGAAAGCCAGCCTCTTCCCACAAAAGAAAACCAGCCATCTGTTTCTGCTGGGGAGGGCAGTGTAGACCTGTGCCGATGTGCCCCACCCCGTCCCCAAACAATTTAGATTAAAGGGG